TAAGGGGGGTGTTGTAACATGGACATTTTTTACTTTTAAATAATTGAATAATTCAGCTATTGGAAGATTACATTTTAACAGAAGCTCTGTAAAGTTACAAAGCTTCCCTCTATTATAGAGGTCTGAAATTAAATTAATTCCGTATATCGTCCAAGAATAGTGATGTCGCGAACCGTTCGCGAACTTGCCGCGAACCGTTCGCGAACTTGCCTTCAACATGGATGCTGTCCAGGAAGTAGGAGGGTCTGGGAGGAGGGTCTGCCAGAGATTGGCAGGGATGTGTCAGCTGACCGGAGTTCGCCGCGAACGGTTCACGGCGAACCGCGGCGAACCGTTCGCGGCAAGTTCGCGAACGGTTTGCGACCTCACTATCCAAGAAGACAAGGAGATGTTTTCTAAATATATTGAGACAGCTTCAATAGGGGATGCATATGAGATAAGAGGAAATTTTATGTAAATTTGATAGAATGTCTTTAATCGTTTTAGCATTAATATTTAGATGGGTATGTTGTTTGGGACAGGACCAATTAAGAAAAAATTTATTTATTCCTCTGCATCTATATCTCTCAATATTATACCCTTGGGTGTTCTTTTTGACTTCTTTATCCCAAGCAAGAAAATGTGACAGCATATACATCTCATGTAATGACTTTAGGTCTGGGATGCCTAAACCGCCGTTTTTCAATTTTCTTTTAAGAATTGAGCCTGGTATCCTTGTTTTTTTAATTGTTCGATACAAATTTAGAGAATATTTTAAAATTGATTTATTATGTTAGATATTTTTCCAGCAATTAAATACATCTTTTAGATGTTTAGATGGTCTAATAGTTGATTATAATTTACTGAAATTATTTTGTCGAAATAAGGGCAGATTTTGATCCCTAAATAATCTAATCTTCTATTTGTCCAGCCTACTTGAATTGATCTTTCGAGCAATTGAGATTGTATATCAGTTAGATTAAAAGAAATAATTTGAGTTAACACATTTAATTTATGATTTGAATACGAGTCATACATTTCAATAATGTTCAGAACATTAGGCACAGAAGTTATTGGTGCTGCACACGTTAGAAGTACGTCATCGGCATACGTAGTGATCAGATGTTCTTTTTGATCAATCTGTATGCCAAGGACTTCCGCTAAGTTTCAAATTTGCTATGCCTGTTGTTATGGCATATTAATGCAATATTACTTAAGGATATTATTTATTCTACTATTCTTTCCAAAGGATTTATTTCTGTTTTTTTTTGTTTTTTTTACAGTTCTGCTGAGCCCTATGAATTGCATAACAGTTTATTCTAATTTAAAAATGTTTGAAAATAAATCCATGGCCACATTTGTCATACGTAACTAATAATCAAACCATTTTTGTTCTTTACAGACATATTAAAACGATGGTGCCAATTTTGGTTTAAAAGTAAGAATATTTTTTAAATCCCAATGAAACGCTCTATATCAGAATTCAGTAAACACAAGTATTTTTTATTCCATGCACCGGGGCTTGCAATATGCTAGTTACCATCAACTGAGAAGCTTTTTCCACTTAGAACCTTCATACAAGATAGAGCTATTTACATCCTGAGCAATGGAATAGCAATGCATTTGCAGCATTCAAATCGTTCACTTGACAATAAAAGCATATCCCAATTCTATTGTTTTCACTCATTAACTAGGGTCAGGCATACTCAGTTTAATTATAAAACAGCATATTTATGGTGAATTTTACTATTCCAATCAAGATAATTGAAGAAAGAAATCAATACAATTGATTCCAGAATTTCAAAAAGAACAACTGAGTAGTTATTCTCCCAAAAAATAAAAAACACCATACATATAGATCCATGCACTCAAGAAAGACGACTGCATAAACAAGAGGCAACACTACTAATATTTGCTCTGTTTAAGGAAAACGGCTTTCGAACATGTCTCTCCAGAATGAGAATATATCTGTTAGCTTATTTGAAGGTCTTTTGTTTTTATTGGAGAAGTAAGATACAACACACACACACACACACACACTAAAATAAGAGATGTTCAGTAAGCACATTATTTATTTAGAACTTATAATGAAGCATACAGTACATACGCATAAATTATGAAAGCAGTTCCATGTCTTATATCAGAGATGGTGAAACGAACACACAAAACCCTCTCTGCGGGCATGTGAGACAGATTTTTGCCATGTCACAGTTATCTGAGGGACAGCACATCTTATGGCACACTGTCATGGGGGTGCAGTGTTCTAGGGTACAGTTGCCCTTAACAAAACTGGCAATATATTAAACAAAAAAAATATTCCCTGGTGGTCAGGTGGAGAGCATGGTCTGCACATCTGCCTGGTGCAGACTGTATTAACCGCTCACTTGTGGTTTCCGCAATTGGTAAGAGTCAACGTAGTCACCAGGATTCCAAGCCTGTGATCAGACTTCCTTACTGAGCGCCAGTCCAAAAGGAGTGATTTATATTGTCTGCAAAAGGCGGAAGTGCTCTACCCCCAAGGAATGGTTATCAAGACAACTAGTAAACCAGGGATTCATTATTAAAGGGTCACTCCACTGCCCAAATCTAAAAATAAAAGAAAAATCACAGTCTAGTAGATATCCCGCCAATTATAACATGTATGCATTGAACTACATATTTTTTTATTGGGCATAGATCTATAAACAGATTGCAAGCCAAGACCATCTGTGGCTGTCCAACCACAGACTTCTCAATACAGCTCAATGAGAAGTCTTTGTAAGGCATGTGCTCTGGGCAATTGTTGCCCCTTGAGTTTAGCTCCAGAGAGCTAAAACTACCAGGAAGTAACAGGACCTGTTGTCCAATTGACAACCAAGTGGGTGTAACAAGGGTTATTTATAGAAGTGCCAAATTTCCATTTGAAAAAAAAAAAAAGGCACTCTTCACACATGAAGCACTTCAGAAATCTGGATCTGGAGTGTGCCTTATAACCCTGGTGGTCCACTAGTGTTCATTATTAAATCCCACTGGAAGATCAGGAAGACAGCCTTCTCCTTGCAAAAAAAGGTAAGCAGGAGAGGAAGTAAAAATATTTTTATTTTATTAATGCCATTAAAAACTCAGCATACATATCACACACAACCATATTTTTTGTTTTTGAGGTTAAATTGTATTGCTGGCAATTTGAGTTAAATACCATTCCAGTTGCAGTTTGTACAGTGCATAGAAGAGATATGGCAAACCTTTGAGTCCAAATGCTGTAACAGATCTTGGACAGACACGGACATGTATGTCATAGTGTTGCCTGTAGTGTAAAGCTAACTAAACCCTAAATTTTATTCTAAAATACCTTGTAAAAATAATGGCAGGCACGCACGCACAGGGGCGGACTGACCACTCGGGCATATCGGTCATGGACCGAGGGCCCGACAGCACAGCCATGCTCCAGCTGGAGAGATCAGATCAGAGATCTCTCCAACTGGAATGGCAAAAAATAATAAAATAAAACTTTTTAATTGATAGGTTGTGGGGCCCCTGATGCAGCGCGGGGCCCCACAACCTACTGCTCTGTAAATCACTCCCCCCCCCATGAGACCTGGCAGCTTCACCTCCTCTCTGCCAGGTCTCCTTCTCCCTGTCCCGCGCGGTGCTCTGTGTGATGGGAGAGGCGGGGCCAGGAAGTGACATCACTTCCTGTTTACTCCTCTCACACAGAGCCCAGCGTAGGGAAGGAGCTGCAGCCAGGGAGAGAGAGCAGAGGAAGCACCCCCCCCTCACTGTCACTAGTCACCCCCCCACTGTGTCACTAGTAACCCCCTCCCTCACTCAGTCACCCCTTTCCTCCCTCACTTTGTCGCTAGTCACCCCTTCCCTCCCTTACTCTGTCAATCGTCACCACGTCCCTCACTCTGTCACTAGTCACCCCGTCCCTCACTCTGTCACTAGTCACCCTCTCCCTCACTCTGTCACTAGTCACCCTCTCCCTCACTCTGTTACTAGAGTGAGTAGGTGACTAGTGACAGAGTAAGGGGGGGGATGACCAGTGACAGAGGGAGGGGGTGACTAGTGACAGAGTGAGGGACGGGGTGACTAGTGAGAGTAAGGGAGGGGATGACTAGTGACAGAGGGAGGGATGGGGTGACACAGTGACAGAGGGAGGGGGTGACTAGTGACAGAGTGCGGGAGTGGGTGACTAGTGACAGAGTGAGGGGATGACTAGTGACAGAGTTAGGGAGGGAGTGACTAGTGACAGAGTTAGGGAGGGATGGGTTGACTAGTGACAGTCACCACCTCCCTCACTCTGTCACGAGTCACCATCTCCCTCCCTCTGTCACTAGTCACCCTCTCCCACATTCTGTCACTAGTCACACCCTCCCTCACTAGTCACCTCCCCGTCACTAGTCACCCATTCCCTCCCTCACTCTGTCACTAGTCACCCTCTCCCTCACTCTGTCACTAGAGTGAGGGAATGACTGGTGACAGAGTGAGGGAAGGGGTGACTAGTGGCAAAGTGAGGGAAGGAAGGGGTGACTGGTGACAGAGTGAGCCGATGACTGGTGACAGAGTGAGTTAGGGGGATGACTAGTGACAGAGTAAGGGACGGAGGGGGTGACTAGTGACAGAAGGAGGGAGGGAGGTGGTGACCAGTGACAGAGTGAGGGAGGTGGTGACTAGTGACAGTCACCACTTCCCTCACTCTGTCACTAGTCACCCCTTCCTTCCCTCACTCTGCCACTAGTCACCCCCTCACTCTAGTGACAGAGTAAGGGAGGGAAGTGGTGACTAGTGACAGAGTAAGGGAGGGAAGTGGTGACTAGTGACAGAGTGAAGAAGGGGGTGACTAGGGACAGAGGGAGGGCTGACTAGGGACAGAGTGAGGGAGGTGGTGACTAGTGACAGTCACCACCTCCCTCACTCTGTCACCAGTCATCCCCTCACTCTGTCACTAGTCTCCCCTTCCCTCACTCTGTCACCTCCTCACTCTGTCACTAGTCACCCCCTCACTCTGTCACTAGTCACCCCCTCACTCTAGTGACAGAGTGAGGGAGGGTGTGACTAGTGAAAGAGAGAGGGAGGGAAGGGGTGACTAGTGACAGAGTAAGGGACGGAGGGGGTGACTAGTGACAGAAGGAGGGGGGAGTAGTGACAGAGTGAGGGAGGTGGTGACTAGTGACAGTCACCACCTCCCTCACTCTGTCACTAGTCACCCCTTCCTTCCCTCACTCTGCCACTAGTCACCCCCTCACTCTAGTGACAGAGTGAGGGAGGGGGTGACTAGTGACAGAGTTAGGGAGGGAAGGGGTGACTAGTGACAGAGGGAAGGGGTGACTAGTGACAGAGGGAGGTGTGACTAGGGACAGAGTGAGGGAGGTGGTGACTAGTGACAGGCACTCACTCTGTCACTAGTCATTCCCTCCCTCCGTCACTGGTCACCCACTCCCTCCCTCACTCTGTCACCAGTCATCCCCTCACTCTGTCACTTGTAACCCCTTCCTTCCCTCACTCTGCCACTAGTCACCCCTTCCCTCACTCTGTCACCTGTCAGCCCCTCACTCTGTCACTAGTCACCCCCTCACTCTGTCACTAGTCACCCCCTCACTCTGTCACTAGTCACCCCCTCACTCTAGTGACAGAGTGAGGGAGGGTGTGACTAGTGACAGAGAGAGGGAGGGAAGGGGTGACTAGTGACAGAGTGAGGGAGGTGGTGATTAGTGACAGAGGGAGGGATGGGGTGACTAGTGACAGAGGAAGGGATGGGGTGACTAGGGACAGAGGGGTGATTAGTGACAGAGTGAGTGAGGGGGTGACTAGTGACAGAGTGAGGGAGTGGGTGACACAGTGACAGAGTTAGGGAGGGAGTGACTAGTGACAGAGAGGGATGGGGTGACTAGTGACAGTCACCCCTCCCTCTGTCACCAGTCATCCCCTCACTCTGTCACTAGTCACCTCTTCCCTCCCTAACTCTGTCACTAGTCACCCCCTCTCCCTCCCTCTGTCACTAGTCACCCCCTCTCCCTCCCTCTGTCACTAGTCACCCACTCCCTCACTGTCTCCCCCTCACTCTGCCACCACTCAACCCCTCCTTCCCTCACTCTGCCACCAGGTACCCCCTCACTCTGCCACCTGTCACAACCTTCTCCCTCACACACTCTGTCACCTGTCACATATGCATTCACAGAGACACTATATACAAAAAAGCACATGTAGTCATCCAGACATGCACAAGTGCATTCACACAGACTCAAATACAAACATGCATTGATACACAGGTCTTGACAATATACACATCCAACGGAATGCCGTATTATGAGTTATATTTAACATTTATTTCATGCACGTATATTTGGCCTTCAAAGGGCCTGGGATCTAATTTTGCCCGGGGGCCCCAAAGGCTCTCAGTCCGCCCCTGCGCACGCACACATGCTTTTATTAGTTAATAACACATTATTTGAAGTATTTATAATTTCTGCACATGGGACACATGGTTTATTATTATTATATTATTTACATAGATCCATCAAATTCCGTAGCACTGTTTATATTATGCAGTCTCAACATTACAGACATTTGATATAGTCATAGCTGTTGCACACACCCCATTTATTCCTACACCAAAGCAGCCGTCTCTCTCCCCTACATTTTGCATATTATTATATATTAACTCTGCTTTAACTTTTTTTTTTTAATCATCATTTTACTATTTTTAAAAGCAAGACTGACAGGTTACTGGAGATCACAATACAATTATTGTATGTTCATCATATAGGTAAAATAATTATATGAAAAACTGGATTACTGTATGCTCATTAATGTATGTAATTTTTTATAACGCCAACTGCCAACCCACTACTTGACAATCAACTTAAAGACTCGCCATTGCACCAACAGTTGTAATTAGGATATTATTAAATTCATAACTTATTTTCTTGTAGTGTTTCAGTTTTTATCTATTTTTATATAAATTATCTAATGTATATACACTATAATCTACTACATAAATGCAACTAATACTTCTGAAAAACAAAACAACGTATAGAAAGAAAATTTTTAATTTTCAGGAATCTAATTTTTGCATCCTCTGTTTCAGTGTTGCTAGCAAACGATATTGCCTTATGGATTCTGTGACTTCACAAGAAGCAGATCAGTAACTACTTTCAAAATACTTTGTTGAGTTCTGCTTGCAGCTTCTAATGCTTTTTGTCCCAAAGAGAGCACATTAGATGTATTTTATAGAGTAATCATTTAAAAACGCTAATAATGCTTAAAGGCAACATTCTACTCTTTTACCAAACAACCTTTTGGCCCCAATATTATATCAGTTGGTATTAATATACAAATGAGCATTTTATCAAATTAGCTAAAAAGCCTGGAAATATACATACACATGTTTCTCCAAACACACCACAGTTTCTAACTAATGTTAATGAATTTAAATTGAAAATATTAAAATTGCACAGATGTAGATTTGCACAAGACAAAGAACTGCAGTTTTCAGTTCATTGTCCCCTGACAAAGCCCCTTTAGAGTATTCCTTTAGGTTAGCAGAAGGAGCATTAATGTAATTGTCTCCAGGGGATGATAGAAGCGCATATGTAATAAATGTAAAGCACACTCTCAATGAAAGAAAGGCCGGGCGCCATAAATTGTCTCTGTTACTGAACAGGAGCTGAAATAACCATCATATTTTACCAGCTCTGAGTAATAGAAAATCATTCATACATCTGCACAGTTCAGAAGAGCCAAATCTCAGTAAACAGAGTAACTCAGGTTCATAGACAGGCGATAAAAAAAAAATAAAAAAATAAAAAGGGATCCAAAATCCTTGACCTGCAGGACATGCAAAATTCAATGCAAATTATATATATATATATATATATATATATATATATATATATAAAAACAATCAAGAAATGATGAGAGCACTCTTCTGGATTTGGTAAAAATTCAAACAAGTATATTTAACGCCTTAGTGACCAGACCGTTTTTCAATTTTCTTACCGTTGAGGACCAGGGCTCTTTTTACATTTCTGAGGAGTAATTTTCCCTCTTACTCATTTACTGTACCCACACATATTATATAACGTTTTTATAATTTATAATATAAGCATTTTACAATATATAATACATATATATGATTTCATTATAAAGTGTATTTTGAGATATAGATATATCTATCTATATCTATCTCTCTCTCTCTCTATATTATATATATATATATATATATATATATATATATATATATATATATATATATATATATATATCAATATATCAGCTCAGACAGTCCCCCTGCTCCTATACTCCTACTGCAGCAATGTGATCATGGTGGCCAAGGCTGCTGCAGGTGGACTGCTGGGGTCTCTGGCAGCCCCTTCCCTATTTACCGTGGTCGTACTAGGTACGTCCGCGGTCCTTAACGACCGTTTTTTTTGTCGGATGTCCATGGTAGAGAGATATATATATATATATATATATATATATATATATCAAATTTGGAACAACCCGGAAGTGATCGCTCCATGGGAAGCAAGACAAGAAAAAAAGAAATCCAATAGTGCTATATATCAACTTAAATGAGTAAGCTTACTCACATTTGGTGGAGCTATGACCAGCTCTAGTTTTGATAGGGTATAGTGGTATAATCCAGATTTACAGGATGTGTTCGGGAGTGTCCATGGAAGATGGTGTGGTAGGAACTAAAATGACAAAAAACAATTATAGAAAGCAGATAATGGTGCTCTCTACTATGATAAAATTGGTAAAATATTAAAAATAGTAAATACTCACAAAGGGAGAGCAGACATTGTGGTGAAATGCGTTATGGAAAGTATTTGTATTTTATTTGAATAAAGGATTTTTTGGTCACTATACTTGTGTACTGTGCCAATTACCTTTTGTTTTAAATAATTTTATTCTTAAAAATATACTTAACTCTGGCATCCTCATTTCCGGTCTACTCCAAAGAAATCCCGGGGGGGATAATACCACCGGCGCCTCATCCACAGAGCAGCTAGTCTGCTCTATCTTTGTGAGTATTTACTTTTTAAAATATTTTACTAAAAATATTGCGCATGTGCAATAGCCTTCCAGTGCTTTATGAGAAAGCATTGGATTGGCTCGATTGGCAATTTTGATGATCTCAGCCAAGAAGGTGGATTGTGGGCAGGATCAGCAATGACAAACCCACGCAACACTAGAAGAAAAAGGAGTAAACTGACACTATAGTGTTCCTCTAAAAAGAAATATTTTATTAAGATGAGGTGGTGTTGGTATTTCGACTGCTCCGTTAAACCAGAACATTTGTATATCAAATTTCTAACCGAGTTCTGAAGCTCCAACTGCACGTTTGCAAACTGGTGCAATTATTTTGAGAAATGAATGGGGAATAATGTGCAAAGTAAAATTAAATGTAAAAATGTAATCCCGTGCTAAAATTACATCATCACTTGGTGGCAAAAAAAAAAAAAAAAAGAAGAAAAAAAGCTGTATTCCTTATAAATATAACAATATGAGCTCTTTAAATCCTAAAAATGTTTTACACCTGGTCTAGTTGTGGTTTTTTTCCCCTTTGGAACATATATCCCTGTGGTCTTCCAAAGGCCCATGTAAAAAAGTGTTGTACAGATCATGAGATTGAACACGTGTTTTACAGTTTACATCAGGAATAGACAAACCTTTAGAATTTCAGGTGGGCTGTGGTGGGTTCACCAGAAAATGCCCGGTGGGCCTCAATCCTTTCATCTCCCCTGCTGTCCCATGCAGAGCCAGCCTTGCTGTAAGCCTTCTCAGGCTGGTTAGAAGATCTTCCTCACCGGCCCGCTGGCACTTGGTTCCAGCAGAGGGAGATTAGTGCATGGGAAGCTCTGTGTTCCTCCCGCAAATAGGCTGGTCGGAGCGTTGCTGCTAGTTATCATGGCAAAGCTCCGATACAGTGGTGTGGTCGCAGGAGGACAGGAGAGTCTGCCTACAGCCAGAGGAGCTGCAGGCTAAAGTGAACATGCCACCACTGGACCACAGGTACTTGCAGCATTTTGTCCCCTCCCGGTAAAGGGAGGGGGAGACATTAAGATGGATTTTCACATCTGACCCACCTCTATGCATCCTTCACACACACACTGTCCACACACAAACTGTACCTTTTACACATATACAGCACTTCCGACACACACAAATTTAAGTACATATTTTTTTGAAAATTTTTTTTTTAAACCCTTTAAAAATAAATAAATAAATAAATAAAAATTGCCCTTTTGGGCAGTCAGGAAATTTTACCATCAACAAAGATGGGCAGTAGGTATTAAAAGGTTGACTATATAGTAATGCATTTTGTACAGATTTTTTTTTTTTTTGTAATAGCAGAAGCAAATCATAAACTCACTTAAAGGGATCCTATAGTGCCAGGAAAACAAAGGCATTTTCCAGGCACTATAGGGTTAACTATAGGGTTAATATAGGTTCAGAATGCACCCTTAGAGAGCAGCACGATTGTTGGAGAGAGAGCTCTACAAGACAAGCTAGGACTATCTGCTGTTACTTGGGGTGACTGGACATTCGACAAAAGATTCACCATCTTCCATTACTAAATAGGAAGAGAACAAGGGGAAAAACTTTCGTATGCTTGAATTCCCAGGCTGAGCAGTAAAAAAAAAAAAAAAGCTAATTTGTGTATTTATTTCCTCGCTCCCACCTTTCTCCATGTAATGTGCCCCCCACCCCCCTTACTACAGCAACTCCAATTAATCTCTGTCATTGTATAATCAAAAGGAGAGGGGACATGTGCAAATATGGATAGATCAGCAATTAATCTAAATCAGTTTAATAGAAAGAGGTGGAAATGGGGAGGGGTAGACTCTGGAGGGACGCAGGAAAGAGGTAAGTACCCACTAATCATTTTATATGGACAAGAAAATCATTACCAACATAGGCTGTCACTAAACACCTACATTTCGTCACGGTGAAGAGTTACGTAGATGTTACTATATATAAACATTCACACACCTGCACTGCTGGGTTTCATTTAAAAAAAAAAAAAAAAAAAAGGGGCAGG